TAAATATATTTAAGTTCACTCGAAAGATGAGTATAAACTGTAACAAACTTATCGTTGATGCGCGGCCAGTGCTTCAAATCTGACTGACAATCGATGCCAAAACTCAACCTCGTTCCCAGGCTATGTCCACCACATTGATTCACGCTAATTAAAAACTGCGCGCTATGGTGCATTTTCTTGCACAGGAAAAACCAAACAGAATTTCTGAATCTGGCCCTTAATGGTCAGATTAATAACTAGGACTTTGTCTCTGACGAAGGAAGGGCAATAAGCAGAATTTTAACCTACGAGCAGGTCGTTGTTTGGTCTGCAATGTTAAAGAGAGAGAGAGCGTTGCGTGAGAAATTCAAATTAGGGCTTAGGAGCGGACTGCAGGAAGCGTTGTGCCAATGCAGTTTATTTTTGCCAACAATTATTCAGACACCAGCATCAGTTATATAGCGTCCCATTTTGTCGAGTTCTTGGGTTCGGTAATTTTGCGATAGAGAGTTATACTCAGGACGAAGAGCTCTAGTCATGCCTAAGTCTTTATTCAACTCAACTATATATTACACGTGATTACATTCGAGATGAACAGGTCACATATGTACAGTATGTATACATACAGCTTAAGAATATTAATTAGCTAAGGTAAATGATTAACTCAAACACTACACATTTCAACCTACGTATCCAAAAAAAATAACTCCTGCATGCGTAGCATGCCTATGTTTTCAAAGCTGTTATTCCCTGTGTGACCAATGCTATCCCAGTTGGGGGTAACTGCTCTACCCCTCTTCTTCAATCATTGACTTGCATCCATGCTAGAGCATGTCGCATTATAAACAAAGTACAATCAATCGACAATGATAGCACTACTCTGAAGGAATTTAAGTGGCTAACAATGGGCCATTTTACAGTTGTGTACTTAGTTGCCAAGCCTTTGATTCAGAGTGAGGCTGAAGGTGACCTTGTTGTGATAGAGACCTGTATCTACTTAGCATGATAACAAAGTGATTTACATTTGAAAGGCAGCAAGGTTTGTATCATAACAAGGTCAACCCTAGCCTCACTCCCATTCAAAGGCTTGGCAACCAAGCACACAACTGTAAAATGGACTATTG